CATCTAGCATGTGGTCTTCCTCTCTTTCTCCATCCCTCCACCTTTCCTGGCATTATTGTCTTTTAAATGAGTCATTCTTTCACATGACGCGACCAAAGTAGCCTTAACTTTATCATCTTCGCTTCCCAGGAGATTTCTGGCTTGATCTGTTCTAGGAGCCATTTGTGGGTCTCTTTTTGGCTATCTGTGGTATCCTAAGCAGTCTTCTCCTGCACCGCATCTCAAAATGAGTTGATTTTCCTCCTTCCTCACAGTCCAGCTGTCCCATCCGTACATGGTGATAAGGAAAACAATGGCTTGTACAATTCTTACTTTTGTGCTCAGTTGGGCATCTTTACATTTTAGACTCTTCTCATTCTTTGATAGCCTCCCTCCCCATTCCTAGTCTTCTTATTTCTTGACTGCAGTCCCCATTCTGACCAATGTTTGACCCAAGGTATGGGAACTCTTTTACTATTTCAGTTTCCTCATTGTCTAGGTTGAATCTGTGTAGATCTTGCATGGTCATTATTTTTGTTTTCTTGATGTTGAGCAGGAAGCCTGCCTTTGCACATTCTTCTTTGATCTGTCTTAGCAGTTGTTCCAGGTCTGTGATATTTTCTGCTAGTAGTATGGTGTGGTCTGTATATCTCAGATTATTGATATCCCTTCTTCCTATCTTCGCTCTGCCTCCTTCCATGTCCAAGTCTGCTCTTCATATGATATTTTCTGTATGCAAGTTGATGCAGCCTTGTCTGACCCCTTTGCCAATTGGGAACTATTTTGTTTCTATGTCTTCTGTCCTGACAGTAGCCTCTTGTCCTGAGTACAGATTCCTCATCAGGACTCTCAGATGTCTTGGCACTTCCATGTCTTTAAGGGCGTTCCATAGCCTTTCATGATCTATGCAGTCAAAGGCTACAGGATTCAAGTTCTATGAAAAAAAGATTCCGCCGAAACATTCAGGAGAAGCTCTTGACTGATGTTGCAAGAGCTGTTTGGCACAGAAATATACTGCCTTGGGTTGCATCCGCACGGCAGAAAAAATGCAGTTTGACATCGCTTTAACTGCCAAGGCTCCATGCTATGGAATCCTGGGATTTGTAGTGTTTTTTTAAAAAGATATTTAGCCTTCTCTGACAAAGTGCTCTGGTGCTACAACAAACTACAAATCCCAAGGTTCCATACCATGGAGCCATGGAAGTTAAAAGTGGCATCAAACTGCATTATTTCTGCAGTGCAGATGCAGCCTTGGAGGGGTGGTGGTGGAGTCTCCATCTTTGGAGATCTTTAAACAGAGGTTGGATGGGCATCTTTCCGGAGTCTTGCAGTTGTGTATTCCTGCATAACAAGGGGCTGGAGTAGATGGCCCTTGGGATCCCTTTACATTTTTGTGATAGGCAGCCACACCGCCATGGTCAAAGAACTGTCCTAACCTTGTAGCAAATGGGAGCGGGCATTTCACCACTCTGCGGCCTTGTCTTGGTACTCTGGACGTAAGCAAGAATTCACGTATAGAGTCCACATGGATGGCGTTGATCAATAAGATAAGGAACATCAACATGACATTCATTTTACATAACTAGAACCCCATGGGATGTTGCCTGTTGCCTCTAATTCTACAATGAAGCCTTGCATTAACTCCTGCCTTCTCCAACCATTCTGAATGCTGGATAGGAGGCTAGGTTGGCTGTGCTGGCGTTTGGAGTCACCTCTGATCTGTACGGAACTGCTGTCGTATGAGTCTGGCAACAGTAGCAGGGCATCATTCAATTCCTGCAAGTCTTGATGCTGTTAAATCCATTTGTGCAGTTACTCATTAGACACAAATTTCAGCATCCCGGATCTTGTTGGACTGCGGCTCCCATCAGCCCTAGCCAGTACAGCTAGTGGGGAAGAGCACTGGGAGTTGTAATCCTGCAACTTGAATGGGGCTCCACTTTACCCACTGTTGTGACAATACTGGAAACTCTTCCATGTACACTGGGGCTTGGTTATGAGATTTGCTGCAGGTGAGCACATTTCCAGTATTTCACTGAGCTGCTGACAGACTGTAGCTCTTTCATTTCATGGGCTTTTGTCCTCATGGTTAGAGTTTGATCCTCTGTGCCAGGGTTGGGAATTGTGTGGCCCTCTGAGTGTTGTTGAACTGCCACTCCCAAGCATTCTTCATCATCAGCTATACTGCCTTGGGCTACTGGGTTATATAGTCCAACAGCATCTGGAGCCCTGGCTATACAGCTCTGCTGTAAAGCCTTGCCTATCATGCTTCTGTATTCATCTACCGAGGATGATACATTATGTACCTAATGGCACAAAACAGGTTTTAAAAGGCGCTGCATAGAAGACTTCAGCCTTGTCTACACTGCAGAAATAAAGCAGTGTGACACCCGCTTTAGCTGCTGTGGCTCAGGGCTATCAAATGCTGGGGTTTGTTGCTTGCTGAGCTATTTTGCCTTCTCTGTCAAGAGAGTTCTGGTGTCACAACAAACCACATCCCAGGATTCCCCAGCATGGAGCCATGGCAGTTAAAAGTGGTGTCAGACTGCATTATTTCTGCCATGCAAATGCAGCCCTCGCCTTGTTTTTACGTGAAGTGGTGTATGTGTGTGTATGACTTTTGCTAAAGTTCATTTCTTGTTTGCTACTTTATGAACATTTGGCTGAATAGCTTTAAAGAAGCTTCAAGAACTGGGAGGGTGGCAAAGGAGCTAGGGATGTTGGTTGTGGCAAAGTAAGCAGCTCTCCTTTGTCCGATGCAAACATTTCAACTTGTGAATTTGTGATTCAGACCTGTTGCTTTTTAGCATCACAGAAGTCCATGTTTTTATATCCTTGCCAACAAGGACATCTGAACACATTCTGTTGCCGTAGGCAGAGTGGCAAATGTATGCTGGTTGTGTTATTTTGCCATCTCTGGCAGAAAATCTCACAGTTGCCTCTCCTGCTCCCTGGCAGTAAAAATACAGTCATGATAAATTAAATAACTTTCAATTTTCTGCCTTTTCTTGACACATCTGAAATTTGCTGTGTGAGGCACCTGCCTCACTCTGCCCAGTAATAGGGTCAGTCTTGCTTGCTGGAAAGTTGGCACTGGACAATATCATTAGAAATACATCCAACTTATACACACTTTTCTGGTGAATCTTTGACTAGAACGGTGGCTCTTGGTTTCTGCTGGGTTTTGTTTCAGGACCCCCCATGGACACCAAAGTCCTTGATTGTTCAAGTATATACAACGGCATAGTATAAAACAGCAAAATCAATATTTGCTTTTTTGAATATTTTTTGGAATATTTTCAAGCTGTAGATGGTGGAATCCATGGATGCAGAATCGGTGGATACGGAGGGCCAGCTGTAGAAGAGGTTCCCCCTTCCCCTCCATTTTCTTTTCTCTTCCTTTTTTGCTAAGGCAAGCTGCCCTGGTTTCCATTTTTAACTTACTTCAGGGCAATTTTTCTGAACCAGCAGGTCACTGAATATATACATATGCAGCCAGAAAATAGCCTCAGAAATAGCTTCAGGTACAGCTTGAATTCTGAGAAGAAAAATGGCTTTTTGGAGCCATTCTGCATAACCTGTGACACACAGTGTGCTTCTGAGAGGTTTTGAATAATAGACCTTCGAGTTAAGGTGTTCCAAATTTAAAGTTTTCAGCAATGATCAAACAAGAGATCACTCTGTAAGACCTCTCTGAATTTGATGGGAATGGTAGGGAATTTATGGGGACTGGAAAGCATTACCTTCACACCGCACCCTGTTTGTATGGTGTGCCCAAGGCAAAACTACTTCTCTCTGTGTGTTTTTGCAGAAGGCAGAACACACGTTTCTGGAGCTAGCAGCCAAGAATATTGATAGAAACGTTCTCCAAGAAAGTGCCCCCCCGCAAGTCAGCATAGCATGGTGGTTCTAAACTCCGTCTGCTTCAAAGTGACATTTCAATCCCCCAGATATGCTATTGTCTTGCAAAAGCTATATAGAAGTAGACTCATATTATACATATATCTATATCCATATCTATATCTAATCTATCTATCTATAATATATTACATTTCCTGCACAGTTGGAAAAAGTGTCCCCTGCTTTTAACCATATGGACATACTGTTCTCCCCCCCATAAACCCCACAACAACTACGACAAAAAAAGAAAAGAAAAGAAAAGAAAAGAAAAGAAAAGAAAAGAAAGAAATCCTACTGATTTTTGTGATGGGGTACTTCTCCTGCTGCCAGCCAATACAGAATATTAGAAGAAATGAATGCTCATACCTTGTTTTGGTGAGGTGAGAGAGAGCAAAGCAGAAGTGATGGTTGTCATTAGGTTGACTCCATTGGGTTCAAACTGAAATTTCTACAAGAAGTGTATGTTTTGTTTTATTTCATCTGATTTTACTTTTTCTCTCTCTCTCTCCCCTCCCCCCCTTTGTTTTCAAGCTCTTGGTGTTTGGGTGGCACGTATTTGATTCTGTGTGAACACACAGGCACAATCCTTTGTGCATGGGGATTTTTTATATCCCGCAATGCACTGAAATTCTTTTGGGGGGTTAGAACAGTGCAAGTTGATCTTGTTATGTATGGGTTAAAGACTGACGTATGAGCCTGATGCACCTTGTTTTAAATCTCATCATAGACCATGAACACACTTCATGAGCAATTCCCAGTTTTGATTCACCAAATGTTGGGATCCCAGAATCACTGACCATCAGCCATGCTGTCTAGGGCTTTTGGAAGCTGAAGTCCAACATCTATTTTCACCATTTACAGCACTGTTTTGTTTTTGGGAGAAAAGGGATAAATAAAGTACTGAATTGTTTGGCTGTCTCTCTGTCCTATTAGTCTTTCACCATGCAGTGAAAGCCTTTCTTCATGCAGTGGCCCTAACATTTCTTTGTTCTTCCTCTTGCTCCAAACATAGCTCCAACTCCCTCTCTCATCTTTAATCATTTTTAACTTCTCTCGCAAGCCTGAGCCTATTTGGGGCTTTTGCTTTTCTGACTTTTCCTTATAAATATTGGTTACTTACTTGTATTCTTCTTGGGTGATTTACCCCTTCTTCCATTCTTCCATGTCTCTTAAATCTCAGTTCATCTGAAAGTGTATATCCACCCTGATTTCTTTAGACACTTCCCACTTTTCTTTCTCATTGGAATTGTCGCATGCATCATGAAATCTCTTCCCTTTGAGTATTTCTGACCAGAGACTGTCCCCCAAGATTTCCCCAAGATTACTGAAATCACTCTCTTGAAATCTGGAGTGCGTTTTTGATTATGCTTTGCTTTTCCTTTGCTCTGTATAGCAAGTTATGGGAGAACACGGTCACACCCATTCAAGGATCCCACTATTTCCACCCCATTGACCAGTTGACCATCCTCTGGACCTTAATAATTACAGACTAGTTCCTTTTTTTGGTAAGGTGATCCAGAAGGCAGTTGCCTTCCAACTCTAGATGGTCTTGAATGACACACTTCTGCTACCCATTTCAAACCAGCTTCAGAACAGAATTTGAAGTTCAGACTGCTATGGTTGCCTTAGTGGATGAACTTCACCTTAGCATTGACAGTGGGAGTGTGTCCCTGCTGGTGCTCTTGGACCTCTCAGTGGTGTTCGATAACATTGACCATGGTATCCTTCTGGAACCCCTGAGGAGGTTGAGAATAGGAGGAACTGTGTTGCAGTGGTTCCAGTCCTACCTCTCAGGCAGGTTCCGGATGGTGGTGCTTGCTCCTCAAAACAAGCGCTATCATACGGTGTATCACAAGATACCATTCTATCCCCAATGCTATTCAAAATCTACATAAAACCGCCAGGAGAGATCATCCAGAGGCATGGGGCAGGATGTTATCAATATACTGATGGCACCCAAATATACTTCTCCATGCCTTCAAAAACAGCTAAGGATAGCATGTCTCCTCTGAATGAATGCTTGGAAGAGGCAATGGGCTGGATGAAGACAAACAAATTGAAACTGAATCCAGACAAGACAGAGGTGTTTACTATTAAGGGTCCTAATCTGAAGCTGGAGGTGTGTTAACCAGTTCTGGATGGGGTTACACTCCCCCTGAAAGACTGTGTTTGCAGTTTGGGAGTACTCCTGGATCCTTCCTTCCAAATGCCAGCTCAGATAAGATGCAAAGGTCAGTAGTGCCTGTTATCAGTTTCAGCTAATACATCAACTGTGCCCCTTCCTAGAACTGGAGAACCTAAAGATGGTAGTGCATGCACTGGTACCCTCAAGGCTGGACCTCTGCAATGTGCTCTACATTGGGCTGCTTTTGTACTAAGTCCGGACACTCCAACTGGTTCAGAATATAGCAGCCAGATTTATTGTGGTTACATCCAGGAGTGATCACATCACACCGATCTTCAAATCACTCCACTGGCTGCCAGTTAGTTTCTGGGCAAAGTACAAAGTATTGGTTATGACCTTTAAAGGCCTTAAAGGGTTTGGATCCAGGTTATCTAAGGGATCTCCTTCTCCCGTACAATCTACCCTGTACACTCTGTAAACCTCTGGGAAAGGTTTGCTCCAACTGGCCAGGACTAGACTGGTAACAGTTTCCCAGAGGACCTTTTGGTCTTTTGCCCCCAGAATGTGGAATGACCTGCGGGAGGAGATACAACAGCTGAAAATGCTGGCTTCTTTTAAAACAGCATTAAGGACATATCTTTTCTGGCGGGCCTTCCCAATCAATTTTAAATCATGACTTTTTAATTGTATACGGACTCTTTTGAGTGCATTTTAGTGGTTTTCTAGCGTTGTGTTTGAACTGTGGGTTTTTAATTGTGTTTTTGTTGTGGCCCACCGCAAACCTTGAGGAGAGGTGGGAAAGAAAATAATAAATAAATAAATAAATAAATAAATCTCTATTAGGTTCAACTCCAAAATAGTTGATCCACTTCTTGCCTCCTCCACTTTCTGGACCTCCTCTGTTGGTAGAGTTCTGCAATTAATTTAGACTTTGAGGTCAATGACATTGAAGTTTATTTGGATGGAAGTGTTTCTGTCTTGTTGTATTTCAAAATACGTGAGTCTGCTTTGCTGTGTTGTGGAGGGAGGGCTTCCTGCTTTTGTGTGTGTGTGTGTTTTGAATAGATCTTTAGACCTCTGCCCCAAAGTCGTTCCATGATAGAACCACTACCTGGGCTTATATCTTCATCTCCCTGATCCTGAGTTCTTTTAGATAGATCATCTCTTTTGAACCAGGTGGGAAGTTGCTCTGTCCAAAAAGTTTAAGCTTGTTGCTAGAGTTACTAAGCTTGCAGTTCTAGGAGGGCGTTTCTTTTCTTTTCTGTCTCCCAACTCCCAAGTGTAAATTATTAAATCGCTATCTTATTGCCTGTAATATCTGGTAGAGAGGTTGCTTAGACGTGTTTCTTTTCAGGCTGATTTTGGGATTATGTGCCAGTGCCTTTTGTTTCAGAATGGACAGAGAGAGAAACTGACAAATGCACATCCCGGTTAGAAACTAACTAATTAAAACCCATCCAATTTTCCATTAAGTGAGAAATATTTCGACAGAAAGAGTCAATGCTGCTAAATTTAGTTTTAGCTTAATTGATTGACGTAGGATTTACTTTCTTCCAGAATTAAGTCAGCCGTCAGTTAAATAACAGACCATGCTGAGGAGCCATCGGGTTTCACATTTTCCAGCAGGTTCTTTACTCAAAGCATTGCTCTCGTGGTTTTTTGGAAAATGGCTTGGAGTTGGGGAAATTGCCATGTTTAGGACCCTGAAAGGTAAATGCTGGACAGTCAAGAAACAAGATGGGAAGAAAACCAATGCATTTGAGAGAATGTGGGGCTGGAGAAGAGGGCTGAGGATCCCATGGAGAGCCAAAAGGACAAACAAAGGGGTCCTAGAGCAGATCAAGCCAGAGATCTCTCTAGAAGCCAAGATGATAAAACTTAGACTGTCATTCTTCGGACACATCATGAAAGGCATGAATCGTTGGAAAAGACAATAAGGTAAGGAAAGGTGGAGGGAAGTAGAAAGAGAGGAAGGCCACATGCTCGATGGAGGGACTTTATTAAAGAGACCAGAATATGAGTTTGCAGGAGCTGGACAGAGCAGGAGAGGATGGGGGGGCTGGAGATGTCTCATCCATAGAGTTGCCATGTGTCGAGATTGATGCAAAGGCAGTTAACAACAATTAGGTAAATGGCTGTAGGACACTTTGGTTGTATTTGTTCACGCTGAAAATAATGATAGATTAGTTCACTCTGAAGTTATTTTTTTTTAAATGAACAAGTAATAAGGGCAGCTTGGAAGGGGGGTTTGATCCAGGTGATCCTCCTGTGTTGTCTCCTTTACACTGCATCGGGGCTCCTCAATTGCCCCAGGAAACTGAATGTTGAAGTTTTTACTCCTGGGACTGTTACTCAGAGGTTAAGGAGATGAGATTGTAATGGACAGAGACTGGAAGTTGAGAGAAGGGCTTTTGGTTGGGGTAGATCAGTCATAAGAAGAGAGGCAGTGTGGTGTAATGGTTTGAGCATTGGATTACGACTCTGGAGATCAGGGTTTGAATCCTTGCTTGGCCGTGGAAACCCACTGGGTGATGTTGGGCAAGTTGCGTTCTCTCAGCCTTTGAGGGAGGCAATGGCAAACCTCCTCTGAACAAATCTTGCCAAGGAAACCTCTTAGGGTCGCCGTTTGTTGACAACAACATGACAGCACAGAACAGCAGCAACAGAGATAAGAAATGTCCCCCCCCCAAAAAAAAAAACCCCATCATGAAACCTTTTGAAAGTATGTCATATTTGATCAAGAACCTGTATGCCAGTGCAGATGGCTTTCAAGGCGGAGGAAGCGTCTGGATCGTTCGGACTTCATGTTTCGGTCAAGAAGTAACTCTGGAGGGTTTGAAGACTCTACAAGCCATTAATCTTGGGGCTGAACTCTTTCCCCCCAGCCCTATTTGTTGCTGGAAACATAATCATTTTGAATCATGCATCTGATTTCAAACGCTATTCTGTTCAGATCCTTGCACATTTTCCTAGCACATATATAAGCATGGCTCCTGAAGCCAAAGAATTAGTCTCTGTCAGACCCTGCTGGCAGACCCATTTTCTTCACTGTTCAAACAGATAAATTTCTCTGTTTTGAAAAAAACTCATTTATATCCTTCCTGGACGCCTCGATTGGAATCCTCCTCCACCACCCACACGGATCCTGGAAATTATAAAAAAAGCTTTCTTGTCTAGATCCTGTTCTTGTAGGACCAGCACCCCTAGATGGTATCACTTCCAGATGGGGACTCACATGATGGGACGAAAGGAACATCTGCCATGCACATAGGACACAGGCAGACCTCCTTTTGCTAATGCATTCATTGTCTTATGTGCAGAATTCTTCTTTTTTTAATGGCAATGGCTGCTATGAGTCCTCTTATTTGCATTACAAAACATTGGCTTGTTGTTACAGGTCTGTTTCAAAATACAGCTTCCTTGTTAGGCAGAACATTTGGATCCCGGACCCTATAGAGAGCTCTTTGGCCTCCCTGGAAAGCAGGATTTGGAACCATCCAGCAGGGATGGTAGGGGGACTATATGGGGAAAGGCGCCTTGGGATCTTTGTAGATTTATGGTGCTATATAAATAAACATTAATAATAATAATAAATAAACATTGTCTCACACTTCTGTGCACCATACAGAAGTTTCAGTGGGCCAATGGCAGGCAATCTGGAACTTTCCAGATGCCTTGGATGACAGCTCTGGAAACCTCTGACTATTGGCCATTCTGCTGGGAATAATAATAATAATAATAGTTTCACACTTCTGCAAGTCTTTTCTTCCATGCACCATACACACGGGGATTGTTTCAATGGGCCAACGGCAGGCAATCTGACACTTTCCAGATGCCTTGGATGACAGCTCTGGAAACTTCTGACTGTTGGCCATTCTGCTGGGAATAATAATAATAATAATAATAATAATAATACAGTGTCTCACACTTCTGCAAGTCTTTTCTTCCATGCACCACATACACAGGGATTGTTTCAATGGGCCAAAGGCAGGCAATCTGGCACTTTCCAGATGCCTTGGATGACAGCTCTGAAGACCTCTGACTGTTGGCCATTCTGCTGGGTTTTATGGGAGATACAGTCCAACACATCTGGAAGTCACCATGTTGCCTACTCCTTATGTTCCAAGTCTTCCAGCTTCAAGGTTTCCTTGTTTCATTTGGGATATTCCTTAAATAGATTTAATAAGAGCTTCGATTCCCATGATTATCGCTTTGGAGATGTCGCAGTGCATCCCAGCTGTACAAGACATTCAGCACCGCATTAATTATGCACTAAAACCTAATGAGAGCTTTTGACATTTTTCCCAGATCCATATTGCATTGTCTTGTCATGTTTTCATTTGCATTGTCTCTATTGATTGTCGGGGCCAACCGGCAGAAAAATACCGGTCCAATAATTTCTACCTTAATCCTAGCTCTGGGTAATTTTCCTTCTCTTGTTGGCAAGACCTGTTTTCTCATTCATTGACCTCTGTGATACAGTTGCTCAGATCCAGATCAATATGACCCAAACCTAATGAGGCTCATTACATCTCTGTGTCTCCTGACTGTTTTCTACAAGATGCAAGCTTGCAAACAGCACCTTTTTTGCCAGTTATGTTGTCGTTGTTGTTGTTATGTGCCTTCAAATAATTTTTGACTTACGGTGACCCTAAGGCAAGCCTATTGCAGTGTTTTCTTGGCACGTTGCTTCAGAGAGGGTTTGCCATTGCCATCCTCTGAGGCTGAGAAAGTGGGACTTGTCCAAGGTCACCCCAGTGGATTTCAACGGCTGAACCGGGAATCAAATTGTGATCTCCTGAGTTGTTGTCCAGTCCCTCAAACCACTACACCACACTGTCTCTGTGTACATTCTACCTCAAGATCAGAGTGGAGGCATTGCAGCAGACTTCATCCAGTGGTAGCTGGACTTGAATTGATAATCATTCTGGCTCTAAATGCAGCGCCTTTACTTTGGAACGCCTTTGGTTTGTTGAGATTTGCTCTTGCCTCTTTTGGGGCCTTCCCATCCTCCTAAAGTCTTGTCTGTGGTTGTGGTTAGAGATGCTCCCCTGACTGAAGGAAATGTTCCAATGACGTAAGCTGGGTATGTTTGGCCTGGAGAAGAGACGGTTAAAAGGGGGACATGATAGTCCTGTTTAAGTATTTGAAGAGATGCCATATTGAAGATGGAGCAAGCTTGTTTTCTGCTGCTCCAGAGAATGGGACACAGAACAACGGATGCAAGATCCAGGAAAAGAGATTCCACCTCAATGTTAGGAAGAACTTCCTGAGAGTAAGAGCTGTTCGACAGTGGAAGACGCTCTCTCGGAGCGTGGTGGAATCTCCTTCTATGATATGATATATGATAACGCTGTATTTTTAAGTATTTGAAGGGATGCCATATTGCAGATGGAGCAAGCTTTTTTCCTGCTGCTCCAGAGAATGGGACACAGAAAAACGGATGCAAGCTCCAGGAAGAGATCCCACCTCAACATTAGGAAGAACTTCCTGAGCGTAAGAGCTGTTTGACAGTGGAAGACATTCCCTTGGAGAGTGATAGAGTCTCCTTCTTTGGAGGTCTTGAAACAGAGGCTGGATGGCCATCTCTTGGAGGTGCTTTGATTTTGAGTTCCTGCGGCCCTTGAGGTCTCTTCCAACTCTAGGATTCAAGGATGGAGCAAACTTGTTTTCTGCTGCTCCAGAGAATAAGACCCAGAGCAATGGATTCATTGTGGTGAGTGGTGACTGTCTTGAGTCCCATGCGTTGCATTGATAGTTCCTGGAGAAAGTGATCCAGGGGCTGCTTTGCTCTCCCTCTCTGGTCATGCTGAAATCCAGGATCCTCCAGTGAAGCTGAATGTATTGGGGCTTCCGTTCAGGACCATGGCTAGCAATCCTGCAGCTGTACACCAGTCCAGAGACTTGGGAGCTCCACTTGATTCATATCTCACCTGAAAAGGCTCACCTCTTGTACTGCAGTCTCTGCTTTTTTCTAGGGCAACTTGTTGGTCTGCAACCCGCGTCGGTCTTAGCCACTGTGACTAATGGTGAAGGACTGCGGGAATCGCAGTAATGTTGCATTTTCTTTTTCCTAAACAAATTCTGACCGGAGACGTAAGATCTCTGGGCAGCGGATAGAGAAAAGGAAATTCAAACATCCAGGAATTTCAAACCCTCAAGGGTCGTTTAGAAGGCTGACAAACAGATTAAACAATTACACCGTTGACAATATGAGTAAATAAATGCGTCAAGTTTTAAAATAGGCATCTGTACAAAGTAGAGAAAATTGTTTGGCTTCAAAGGATTCAACTTTAAAAAAAACAACCACCACCACATTTTAACCTTGAACCCCAGGATGAAACTAGCATTGGCTGCAATCTGACTTCCAAGGGGCGACATTAGGATCCATACTTGGGCTGCATCTGCACTGCAGAATTAATGCACTTTGACACTGCTTTAACTGCCATGGCTCAATGCGATGGAATTTGGGGATTTGTAGTTTGGTGAGACATGGAGCCTTCTCTGCCAGAGAGCTCTGGGAACACAACTAACTACAGATCCCGGGATTCCATAGCATTGAGTCATGACAGTTAAAGTGGTGTCAAACTGGACTATTTCTGCAGTGTGGCAGCAGCCTTAGCAGACAACGCGCTCTCCCTCTCTCTTTCTATATATATATGTATGTATATATATATGTGTGTGTGTGTGTATATATATGTGTGTGTGTGTGTGTGTGTGTGTAAATATAAGTAAAGCATAATAATAATAATAATAATAATAATAATAATAATAATAATAATAATTTTGCGATCAGTGTACAGGATTAGGAAAAGTGTCTGGATTTGGGATGCAACGTTATGTCATTTCATAGCTGAGTTGGTCCATGTTTTGTTTGTCTCTCTCTTAGAGGTCAGGAATGCAGGCTTTGGGTTAGATGAGTTTGTTGAGAAATAGGCATAATTTCAAATGTATTGACACTGAAATTGGAGAGGCTAATGACATGACTCCATTTTCTCCATTCTTGGCTTGGCAACATTTAGAGCTGCTGTATATAATTCATTAATCCATTAGACTGTCCAATTATAAAATCATTTAATTGAGTAAAAATGTGCCCTGATTAATTGGGCGACATATTATATATTATAGAACGACTTATAAAATTGCAGTTCCCCTTTCTCTTTCATATGAAACAATGCCTTTTCTTAAGATGCCGGCCTGCTACGAATGATGCGGACACAATTTTAAAACAAGGGGCTAAAATAAAATATGAGCATGAACCATTAGTACAAACCCATTGAGTCAATGGGAACTTTAAAAGTCAAAATTGATGTCCATTCTGTTGCTTCAGTGGTTTGGTGTTAATAGTTAGATGTGGCCAAAGAAGGGATGGGACTTTCATTAGGGCTAATGTTTAGAGACGTAACTGGGTTCATAATGATAATATTTATTTATATCCTGCCCCTCCGTAGATACAACCGGGGCGGCTTACAGGATAAAACGAACAATCCCATCCCCCAATAACCCCCCCAATC